CCCCACATATCATGGGCTACTAACTTAAAATGGATTGTGATCACTTTATTCCATGTTCTTTCAAATTCATAACTCACCAATCACTTTGCCATTCATAACAAAACATAGCCATAACATAAAACAGACGCTTGGAAAAGCAATGTTAAATAAACCAGGAATTAGTCATTACAAGCACATGATTTTCATCCAGGCGCCAGTTCCCAAAATTCTTCACATACCGCAGTCGAGACAACTTCACAGAAGATCGAATCTACCGGCATCTTGAACCAGCCATGGCATTCCAGTTGGAACTAAATAGAATGCGTACATATGATCTTGAAGCCCTGCCTACTTCTAACCAGAAGATGCACCTTTACCTGGGTAAAGCCAAGGTAATGTTTTAAATGCAGGACCATGTTAATGTGTAGTGTTCCCCTGAAAAATTACCCACAGTTCTTTATCTTTATAAAATCCTACTACGGAATTGACTTATTTTAAACACAACATAAGAATATCAATCACTATTGGTCTCATTTCAGAGGAAGTCACCAAGTAAATAGAAATTTGTTTCATACATATTTAGGTAGTAACATTGTTTCTTTTCCACAATAACATTCACTAATTAAAAGAAAGTCATAAGGGAGCCTTACTTTTAATTTTATTACAAAACAGATGAATAAATGAAAAACTTGCATTGTAATATAAAGTAGTTTTAAAGGAAAAACCTGAAGATGATGCTACGCATCGAAACATGTAGTAAATGAAGGCGCAGTATTGTAACATCGTAGTAACGATGAATAGCGCAAATTTTAAATTTTAACATCTGTAAATAAAGTTTGTGTATAGACCTGAATTATATTATATATTTTAATTATAATTTTATATAATCATAATATACTGCTTGTCGCCCTCGGTGGACTAGTGGGTAGTGTTATCACCACTGGACCCAAGGTTCGCAGGTTCAAACCCAACCGAGGTTGATTGATTTTTAAGGGTGATGATAATCCGTAGCACATCTTCCTTCAGAGGGGAAGTAAAGCCAGCGGACCCTTGTCATAGATTTGCAACAGGTAAAAGAACCTTACGAGCATGAACGAGATGTTTTGTAAGCAAAATTCAGCAATCATTTCTCACCCATGTCTCTCCTGATTCTTTACTAGATGGCAGACAAATCAGGATTGTATATAAATTGTGCAGAGGCAGTGGGCTGGTCACTCACTACTCAGATGCACACTTCACAGACTAGGAAACTTCCCACATGGGAGGAGGCCAAGGTCCAAACTTGGGCTGTGGTGCCAGTGGATGGAATATACTGCTTATAATTTATTCTGCATATTTTATTGATAAGGAAATTATGTGTGAAAGAAATAGTTGTTCACCGTATCAGTGAAGACATTTATAAGTGTTGATGCACAAGTTAAAATCTAACTAATCCTACCTTGTATAGATTGCCAAGATGAAAAATTACATTTCCCAGTGCAGTCAGAGTAATATCTAATGTGGGTGAGTTGTTATGTGTAGGGTTATTTTCCTACAAATCACCATGTACATTGAAAGTGTGTAAAATTGCCATTGGATTTTCTGAGTGTTACACATTCAGAGGCTTTACTTGTAGTCCCTGGAGTCAACATTTTGTGGCGAGGGCCAGTGTGCAATTTCTACCATGGCCAATGATAGAATATTGTTTATTTATTTGTGTTGATTTCTAGGTTGCAAAGGGCCAGGAGGTTACAGACTATCGGTTTTTTGTACGGTCCATTATCCGCCATTCAGATTTAATTACCAAGGAAGCATCATTTGAGTACCTGCAGAATGAGGCTGAACGAATCCTTTTGGAGGCCATGGATGAACTGGAAGTGGCTTTCTCACATCCTCAAGCAAAGCGCACGGATTGTAATCACATATTCCTCAACTTTGTGCCTACTGTGATCATGGATGCTGCTAAGGTAAACTTCTGTCTGTGTATGATAATTATCATTAACCTTAACAGTATTCAAGGTAATTATCCTATTATGGTTGTTATAAAATATAATCTAACCATTTCCTTAGAGATCTTTTTGTTGTTGTTGTTGTTGTATAGAGGTATTTCAGAGGTTTCCTGCCTCAATACAAACTAAACCTTAAATGGGGAAACTATATATTCACCATCTTCCGCTTCTAGGTTTTACTAATGATTTTTAATGTGATATAAAACTGGCAGACAGGAGTCAGACCAACATGGATTATACTAGCGCTCAGACAAAATGCTGTTTCTAACCGAAATTGAGAGCTTTTATACACACTTCTTACTGTATAGAGTATCAAAGTCAAAGGAAAGTCATGCCAAGTCATAATTACAGATCACAGGGTTTTGCAGTGGTTGGTTTCCAATCTTGGGGGAATGTAGTGATGCTCACAAATCGTATAAGACTGTGAAATGTTAACTGGATGCCCCCATTATTTTAGTTGCAATTGGAACAGCATTGACCTATTGCTTAGTCCTTAAAGGTTAGTAAGAGCATGACTTGGAATAGAATTTAACTACAGGATTTTGTGACACATGCCTTGTATGCAATGGGTACCAGGGTTGCTTCCACAGGTAAAGCAGCCAGGGCGTGATACTGACCTCTCAAGTATGTCTAGTGCCAGGGTTAAGAATGCATGGAGCTATATCTCAACTTCCCTGTATGTATGCAAGCTCCAGAGACAGTTTTACCTTTAATTTATTGTTTTTGGAGCTGTTATAATATAAATGTCTTGCTCCAGAATTGAATGCAATTGATGTTTACAAAAATTTGATAAAGGTTGAAATCCAACTTAGACAGATACCAGTATATTCATTTATACAGAAGATTCACACAAAGCAGAAGTTTTCATTCTTTAGAAAGAACGTACTACCCTGTTCTTTACTATTTATTTCAGTAGATTTCTTAGACTTTATTTACATGCAGCTTTAGACAAGTTTTGATGTATAATGCTGACGAGTAAGCAGTATTGTATTGTCTTGCATGTTTAATGTTACAGATAGAAGAGAGTGTAACAAGCATGGTATTGCGGTATGGTCCTCGACTGTGGAAGTTGCGGGTGCTTCAGGCTGAATTGAAAATGACTATTAGACCGTCACCTAATAGTAAGATGACCAATGTGAGGCTCTGTCTAGCAAATGACAGTGGCTACTCACTGGATATCTGGGTTTACAAGGAGCTTACTGATCTTAAGACAGGCGTGGTGAGTGTGATATGAAAGCACATATCTTTCCATCATCAGCTCTGACTAATAAGTCAGTACTCTTTACGTAGTTCCATATTTAACCTCACGCAAATGATATTTTGTGTCTGTAAGCAGAATACTATTGTAAAAATTAATATTATCATACAACATGCATAGAACTATTAAAAATTATTAGAATTTCAGATGTTGTGAAAGTGGAGTTTTACCTTGTATTAGCTGTATTAAAACATGATGTAATAATTTTAATGCAAATGTCCACTTGCAAAAGTGACATGTCTCACTGCATTTATAGCTTATTTCAAGGGGTGTAGTCCTTGAGAAGCTGGTAGCTTGCATAGATATTCAAGAAATTCCTTACTTTTTATGGAACTAAAAGGTTTGTTACCATGCTCATTATCCTGCCAGTGGTCCCTCTTCTGGCTGAGTCCCTGCATAACATTTTCTAACATGAAGCAAATTGTTTTCTGGACTAAAATTCTCCACTTTCAGAAAAAACACTTTTTCTAGTTCTGAATCATTTAATTCTACAAGGCACTGCAATTTTGCAGTATTTTTTGTGTCTTGTTTTCTTCTACAATCATTCTTACTGTTGTAAATGGTATTCCATGGTCATATCCAATATTGATTACCTATTTGTTAACTTGGTATTCTGTGTTCACCGACTGGTCATTTGCCATCTTCATAATCAGCAGTAATTTTCAGTTTAGTTTACTCTTGACCTCTTAGCTTTCTTATTTGACTTGCAGAAATGGCCACTGAGTTCATTGCAAAAATAAAGTAAATGAGGTATAAAATAAGCAGAGAACTGTTTTGACGACCTCTCATTGTGTGTGTTCGTGATAGACTGATTGATGCTACTGAGTGGGAGAAAATGACATAAATAATGGATATAGGAAACAGCAAAGGATATGGAAATAATGGTGTCAAGTAGTGGAAGATGAATGTCAGAAATTATGGATTAGGAAGTCGGTGGATATTGAGGGCCGACTGTAGTAAATCTTAGTTTGTGAAGTTGTGAAGTTGATTGTACTAGTTCATATCATCTGATGGCCAACTTTTTGATTATATAGTTTAACCATTGATCTCATAAAAACAAGGAAATTTTTGTCCAGATTAATAACCATAAACTTCACAAGGAAGTCCTTATGCAATGGATTTAATTAGTTTTCAATAAAGTTACTTTCAGATTAAGTTTGAAGCTTTCAATAAAGTGTCTGTTTCAGATCAAGTTTGAAGCCTATGGAAACAAGCAAGGTCCTATGCATGGATTACCCATATCCATACCATATGTGACCAAGGATTATCTGCAACAAAAGAGGTTTCAAGCTCAGAGTGCAGGTACCACCTATGTGTATGATGTTCCTGACATGTTTCGACAGATGACGGAGAAGCTGTGGAAAGAATTCATCGAGGAACGGCCAACTGGTAAGTACAGTAGAACCTCGTATTTATGTTCCTGGAATGTACGTTTTTCCATATGTTTTTCCAGTCTGACCATTCCAGTGGTTTCATTTATTTCACACAAAATGCATGACATTTCATTTTAATGTCCTGGGTTTTACACTTTCTTTTAAACTGCTTTAAGTTTTATTTTCAGTTCTTGGCTACTCTGATGTGTTAATCGCCATTTTGCAAGCATCATTTTATAAGGGTCGTTTAAGGTTGACCTGGACTTTTTTAATAAAATACATACATATCAGAATCATGAAACTATTAATCTTTTTCAAGATATTAAACCTATACACTAATACATTTTTGCTATCACCATGGAAAGGTACTGACGCTGGCAGCGTAGAAAGAAGTAGGCTGACTGCATAATTATTTCAGGACACCATGCTTGAGTTCATCATTTGTCTTGAATGTCCGCCCTCTTAGGTGGTCCTTCATTGACCCAAACAAGTGATAATGCTAGGGGCTGAATCCAGACTGTAAGGAGGGTGGTTCAAAATCTCCTAGCCAAGGGTGTCCAATGTCACTGTTGTAAAATTTACATCATGTGGACATGTTTTGTTGCGTAGCAAGACTGCACATTATCAGGAATTTATTATGAATTTAATTTCTCTTTTAGAAGTTGACAAACAAGACTTCTGGTTTCAGCAAGTTGGGGATATGGCACTTGCAGCAAATGCAGCAGTGTAGCTGTTGAGTGTTTTTTTCTTTCTTTCTTTCTTTCTTTCTTTCTTTCTTGAAACTTATGGCCCCCTCAGTCCCCACATCTATCACCACCAGATTTCTGTCTTTGGGTTTTTTTGAAGGAGATTGTGCACAAAAGAAGGAAACCCACATACATAGGAGATATCTTCTAATTTCACTGTAATTAGTTTTTGACAAACAGAACATGTGTCAGGAATGGGTTGCATGACTTTTCTATCACTTTGTATATATTTTAAAAAATTTCATACATTGTTTAATAATTTAGATATATTATTTCTTGGGCATTCCAGTTACGGAATAAGGTGAAGGTAAGAATTAAGCTTTTGAATTTTGCATTTCTTGCAGTTCAAATTTTTCTGTGATTTACAGTTTTTATCAATCCCCAGGAGAGCATAAATAAGGGGTTCTTATGTAATATGTACTAATATTACATGTGAAAATGGAACATTTATTATATTACCAAGAAAGCCATGAAGAACATGTACTAATGTGGAAATTTTTATTTACAGTGCAAATTTCATTAACTGTTCAAATACCCCTGATGATAATCACATTGTACTTTAATGGCTGATGCTAATTACAGGAATAGCTCTGCATTACCATTATGCAAAGATAAAATGGACTATAATGAACTTTCATCATAATCTAAGTAGTAGTACAGATCAGTTGTTGCCCTCGGTGGACTAGTGGTTAGTGTGCTTGCCACTGGACCCAAAGTTTGTGGGTTCAAACCCGGCTGAGTTCGATGGATTTTTAAGGGTGATAAAAATCTGTAGCACAACTTCCTTTGGAGGGGAAGTAAAGCCGGCAGTCCCACATCATCGATTTACGCCATGTAAAAGAACCTTACACGCATGAACGATATGTTTCATAAGCAAAATTCAGCGGCCATTTCTCACCCAAGTCTCTCCTGATTCATTACTAGATGGCTCTAGCAGTCAAATCAGTATTGAGTAGAAATTATGCTGAGGCAATGGGCTGGTCACTCACTACTCACAAATGCACACTTCAAAGACTAGGAAACCTCCTAAAAGGAGGCGGCGAAGACCCACAACTGGGTTGTAGAGCCAAGGAAGAGGAAGTGTGAATCAGATTAGCACTGTTTTAGAGAGTCTCATGAAAATGCTGTATGGTTCCATTGCATTGAAATGATGTTTGCTTGGATGGTGTTCTGGTTTATTGCAGAACAACTGGTAATCCCTTTAAAAGTGCTAGACAGTGTGGAGCTAGTTCTGGAAGGAGATGATCATCTAGTTGAGCAGAAGCGACTGCCAGGAGAAAATAGTGTATGTTGTAAGATTTAATTGGGGTATATTTATATAGCTGCTTGTTTATACATCAAACATGTCTCCGGTTAAATTTAACAGTAAGTTAGCATTCTGGGTACATAATAATTGTTGTGCTGAATGTTCATAACCAGTACATTTAATAATGTGATGAAAATTGTTCAGAATTTCAGTAAAAGGATTAATTAGAATATACTAATGAATGTCTGTGAATTAACAAATTATGTTCATGAAATGTTTACGTGTTGTCCAGCTAGCTGTGCATTACACTAACCCCAAGTTGGCTGACAGCTTTGTATTATGGAGACTTCAATCCTCCATTTCCATAAAGTTTATTATGCAGTCTTTACACCTGCACAGACACAAAATATTTCAGCGATCACTTAGTACTGAAATCCACTAAAAATTTGTTTCTACAGGTAGGTATGATTGCCTGGCATCTTACACTCCACACCCCAGAGTATCCTTCTGGTCGTGACATCATAGTAATAGCCAATGACATCACTTTCCTTATTGGCTCGTTTGGTCCACGTGAAGATCTTGTATTTTGTCTAGCATCAGAACTAGCAAGAAAGCTAAAAATTCCAAGGATCTACATTGCTGCAAATAGTGGGGCAAGAATTGGACTGGCTGAAGAGATCAAAAGTCTGTTTAAAGTTGCATGGGAAGATGCTGAGGAACCTGACAAGGTAATTTACATCACTTGTAACTGTGAAATCAGTTTTAAATGCCATTTTTCGAAGATATAAATTTACCTTCAATCTTAGTATGTAACACTTAAGAGGACAAGCTCATGGATATTTTTAATAAAAAAAACGTTTCACAAAACTTTTTTTAATTCACATGGTTTATAAACATATTGTTTTATGCTAATAAGTGAAACATTCTTGCTATTATTGTCGCATATTCTTGTGTAGTGAGGAGGAAACAGTTCGTGGATTGTAATTCAGAATATTGTTAGTTATCTCACTTTTTTATCTGTTTCCCGCGTGTATGTGGTGTAAGTGTGGCGGTCTATGTAGTTCTTCGTTAATGTAATTTTTTATCCTATCCGAAACGATTACCACTTTTCACCATTTCATAACATTTTATTTCACTATACTGTCCTGCGTTTGTTTCTCCTTGTTAATACGCGTTTCACTGTCATAAAGTCTTTGTAAATATTGTACAGTAAATTAGACAATAGTGCTGATACTTTAAATAGAATTTTAACTTAATGTTTGGCCAGAATGATTGGGTATTTCCAAATTCTTATTCGACAGTTCGTAAACTCTTTTGTACGTTTAACAGTCGAAGATAAAGGTCTTCCCTGACAGTAGTTCCGTTTGTTGTACAGGTCTGCAAATGCGTTGTTTAGAGCTACAAAATTTAGCATTCACACACAGAAGAAGGCAATGTCAAACCACTTCTGGATCATCTGCCAAGAACGTATATGAACAGGTCCCAGTCCGAGAAAAGGATGGAAGGATCCTGTTCATATGGACCTGTCGTCAGACAGAACACTAAATAAATAAATAAAATAATGCTAGCTGTGATAGCGCAAGAGAATGAGTTAATGCAGTGGGAGGGGGAGGCGAGCACATGTTCTCAGTCTTTCTACCAAGCTCTTTTTGCTTCTGAAACACTACAACAAAGTCTGGAACAATGGAGGGCCATTTCACAGTGCCCAGGGTCATTAAATAGCAGTAGAGTCTCAGTTGTGGGGTAGTCCTAAGCGATAAAGTGAATGAAGCGGTTGTTTCTATTGACTGTGGTGAACAGCAGTCATCTATGATCATGTGAGTGAGACGAAGCTAGCAGAAATACTTAAATATGAGTAAAGTCAAGAAACAGACAGAAGCATTGGTGTCGTACATTGAAGAGAATTGTTATAAGAGGAGTGATTCAAGGAGCAATGATACATTTTAAATAGTTTGATTGAATAAATCAATCTCTCATTTCAGAAGAACACACATGTAATCAGTGATCTACATTACATTTCTATTGATACTGTTAACTCCCAGCATACTATTACTATTATCACAGTTTTATTAATCCATGGTAGAATCGATGTCCCTAGGTAATTAATAAGTTATTTTGATATAACACAGATCCTGCCATGTTTCGCCATCTTAATATAACTAAAATGTAATTTTTTATTATTTTGCACTTAGACTGTTAAGACATTTCTTCAGCACTCCTGTTATGTATTCTCATAGGATAATATAGAAAACTCCAAGCTAGTTACCAATTTTTTTTTTTATCTAAACAGAATCATGTTACAATATATCAAATTTTGCACCAAAGCAGGGTCTCATTGTGCTTATTCCATACACCAGTAGGGTACAACTTTTTACCTCGCTAGGTCCAGAATAGTTTTCCTGTTAGACCCAAGGGTCACAATTTTTGCATTGTCATTTTTTTTAATAATACTTATTCCGAAATTACAAATTACCATTGCATATAAATGTATAATATAAATTTTATTTAAATGTGCACAAGCTACTGCTGAGTTGTATATTATTTTAAATTTGCTCCTGCAACAGCTTGTATCTCTCGCAATTTTTACCAGGAAAACTTGCACAAATTATTTGAACTCTACTTTAATAGGTTGTATCTGATACAATAACAATTTGTACTAGTAGAACATGCATCTTGTGCTTTTAAAGTCAATGGCTTTAGTGAGAACACTGAGCAGAATGTTCTTTTACCAGTGACGGAATATAAAAAAAATGGGTTTTGTACTAACAAATTAACAAATACTTTCGTAGGCCGGATGCGACCCGTGGGCCGCCAGTCGGACCACACTGCCATACACAACAAATACCTCCCTAAGAAATTTTTATAAGTATATCACTGAAGGTAGTGAGATAAGTCGTAATTTGATGTTTACTTTTAGGGTTTCAAATACTTATATTTAACACCAGAGGATTTCACCAAAGTGTCTGCCATGAATTCTGTTCATGCTATCCTCATTGATGATGAAGGAGAACCTCGATACAAGATCACGGACATCATTGGTAAGTGTTTTTTACTCTGACTGATTGTAAAATTGAAATTGTGTAGGCTTAGAAAATAGAACAGTTTTGCAACTTACGGCTTTCAGATTCAGGTGAGCAGAGATGATTAAATTTGTATGGATTGGTGATTTTTTAGATAAATAAAGCCTTTGATGAAATTTGAATTGCAGATGTGCATCAAATTTGCTTATGCATAGCATGAATGCTAACTAGACTTTGTGATATACAGTGAAACCTCTATCTATCGTTCCCGGAACTATCGTTTTCCCGGATGCATCGTCCGTTTTGTTCGGTCCCGAATACATCCCATATAAAATAATGTTACATTTTCCCGCTTCTATCGTTCCTCGAACTATCGTTTTATCGCATCGATCGTTCAAAAATCTTAGTCCCGGCCAACAATTTTCCCGCAATGATCGTTTCTGAGAAATTAAAATGCTGGGTTTTGAGATAAATTAATACCGAAAGACGCACAATGTTTTTGGAATAAACAGTAGCGGTAACCTGTTATGTCGCCCAACCAGCACATTCTTTTGGAATGAGGGTCAGCGGTGCAGGGGTGATATTGGAGTGAATGGCGGTGCTCATTGTCAGAAATTTTACGATTTTAATTAGGGTGCACTCATATTTCGTTCCACCGATGCCAGATGGCATGTGCAGTGTGAATTTCTTCACAAATGCTTTTATTACAAGGACAAAGGAAAGGC